GATTGTTTTTTGGGGGGGATGTTTTTTTTTTTTTTGGTGGGGGGCGATTGTTAGCCAAAATCAATGATATAGTCTTTGTGCATTGTATTGAGAAAAAATCATTAGTGTAGAGAACAAACACATAAAACGCCATTGACCCACAGTCACCAAATACGAAAATTTAAGATATGGTCCTAGAAATGGTATGATTTAAAATATTGTATCTAAGTTCCAATTAAAAACAGAAATAAACAATTAACTTTTTAGGCATTGACTTTTTCTTGGCTTTTTTAGACTATTTTCTTGGGTCTTTTTGTTATTCTTTTCTTTAAGATTTTTTTTGACATGATGGTAAACAAATATTGTATAAGGATGTGTATTAGTTTTGAAAATGTTCTTAATTTGATTTTCATTCCTCCGCCTAAAATGCAAACCTTTATTTTTGTATATTATGTGATACTACCTAAACATATTTTTTTCGTTTTTTTTAATCAGAGATTTTCAAAAATTTTAGAAATTTTATAAAGTTTTTGACATTTTTTCAAGTGACCTACCCCATGAACGAGTTATATGCCCGAATCACAAATAGGAATCTTAAATGTGACTTGTTTATTAATTTTCTTTTTTTCTGCTAAATTCACAAGTTGCGTAGATCATAGATTGTTAAACTACAATTGAAAATTGTAAATTTTAAAACAGATAAAACAAGTATGATCATGTAGTTTTTTAAGGGTACCGTTGTTAATCACCCATTTAGCGTAACAAATGGGTCGAATTTAAAAATTTCGCCTGCTGCTGTCCCTTTAACACTGGTAACATACCCTTCCGGCAGCCATCAGTTTCTCTGCCTCGTAAACTCTATATCCACATCTTTTACAACCATGATCTCCTCTAACCTTATCCTCATTTTCACCAGTCACAGGGTGGAAATCAATCCTAGAGGTAAAAATTTATGAATTTGAACAGTGGTAACAAAGTTAAAAGATAAACAATATTATTGTTAATATTACTTTAAATATTATCAATATTATTCTTCTTATTATTATAATTATTTCTTACAATGGTCTAGTTTCCTCGAATTGTCCTGGTCCAGCAGCCATCAATGCTGGAACTGTACCTGCACCTCCATATCCATATCTGTACATAAATTAGATCTTAATTACGAAAAGGCCCCTCTCCTCTCCTTTTATTTTTAGATTCACAGGACTTATCCGGTGTAAGCGACTGACAATTTTTTTTAATAAACTAGAAATAAAATTGGTAAGGATTGAATTTTAATTTTGTCGAGCCCACTTTCATTTTTCATGAACACCCCCTTTATAGAGATTTAATTTTTGACTTTTCAATTTGAACTAAAACTTTTGGATCAGTTTTCCGGAATATTTTTTATTCTTTTTATAGATTACAACTTCAATGTCAGCTAGACAGAAAGAGAAGGTTCAATTAATGCGATATTACTGCTATGATTCGCAGCTCCTCTTGCTTTGATTTATGCATAAACATGAGAAGAAGAAAAAATTTACGGGGTCATATAAAAGAAATTTTAAACCAAAAGATTGATCCTTAATTTACTTTATTGTAACCTGACTTACCCATGAGGTCCATAGTTCTTCCCGTAGCAGGATTTACAGAATATTTCTCCATCCTGAGAATCACAACAAGTCATGCTGTCCAGGGGTCGTTTACACTCTAGGCACATAAAGCAGGACTTATGGAATACATGGTTCTTAGATAACATCTTCTCTGCATGAAACACTTTACCATTACACCTAATAATAATAATTACATAAATAATGACAATAATAATTATAAAATTAATAATACTTAAAGCAAGGAATAATCAATAATTATGATGGTGGGATGTAAACATGAAAAAAAGATATGCTATGTTTATTTTTTTTATCGATATGTTGGTGTTTTGATTCAAATAGAAATGGATTCATTTCAAATTGGCTCAAACATGAACCGTACCTAGGACAGCTCTCCTTGTCGTTTACCCCTCCCTGTATAGTTGCAGTATTCGAGGTCGTCTGAGGTCGATCATTAGTTCCGTCCTCCCTTCAAATATTATTAAAATCTACAGAGGTAATCGGAATGGGAAGAAGGCGTTAATGATCTGAAGGCATGATTTTAAGGGATCCTTGATTAAAAGAGAGGAACATATGCCCGATTTACAACGGTACCATTGAAATCATTATCTAATTAATAAAGGGGAAAATACTCAAGTTTTTAAAGCTTAAAAATGAAATAATTCTTAAAGTTTCTACATAGTTTTCCAGTAATAGAAATGCGCAAGTCAATTTAGTAGAGAAGCTCCATAATTAAAAAAGATCAGTTCTCAAAATTATATACATGGATATCTAATTCATAATTGATCAAGCATAGCTTTAGGGGGTAGAATTGTGAATCATACATGACACACTTAAAATTACGTTTACAGAGTCATACGGACCCTTTAAATGAACAAATTATCAAGTCAAATCAGACAAAATATCAAGTACACATTTCACAATTCGTCATTAAAAACAAGAGAGCTTATCATGGGAAATCAAGAAGGTCTTAAATGTGTAACCGGCATAACTTCTGTGTAAAAGGAAGATATATAGTTTACCAGTAGCTTGAAAATTAAATTCTTAAGTGAAATGTTGTGTTTTATGGACTTTTCCGCAGTTTTATGGAAACTTTGATTACTTTTTGAAGTTGGAAACTTTTATGAGAAAAACCAAAGAGAAAATTAAATATGAACTCAAAAACTTTATCAAAAAATTATAAAATATTAATAAAAAACTTACAAATCTCCGGTTTGAAGAAATCCTGACCCTCCGGCAAACCCGTAACCCTACACAAACATATATTTTACGAAGCCGAATATTCTAAATGAGATTAAGTTAAGATCTAAAGTGGAAAATTTATTTTTTAACTTTAATATTTGAATTTTAAAATATTGATAAGTTTCGTCAGATTGATTCATTAAGGGTTCAAACTTTTGACCAAAGAGAGTCTTAATCAGACTTTATTGTGTCGAAAAAAGATTATGGTATTAAAATAATATTGGCTAAATAAATATACTGTATAAATTGTTTGACATGTTAAGATTATAGAACATATTCCACATTTGCTTTTGATCTTTATCTCTCAGAATCAACTTAAAAAATAATTGTATATTTCAAAAATTACCTTGGCGCCAAATTTTTTGCCGTAGCAACCACGGCAATAAATATCATTATTAGGGGCATCACAGGCCAACACACTAAAAACATATTGTTCACAATTAAATGTCAATTTTCTTTCTTTTTTAAATTAATTTGTTATAAGTGGAATTTTGCACTTATCTTACTGTGGTTCGATCTTTGAACGTTTGAGATATGTTGACTGTGGTAACATTTGGAGATTTACGTAAATGTTGTTGGTTTTGTTCTGAAGTTTACATTCTAGTTTGTAATCATGGATAAACTGTATTTACCTGTCTAATGGACGTTTACAGGATTTGCAAGAGAAACATCTTTTATGATAAGTTTTGTTCTTGCTAAACATCTGTTCAGCATGGAAAACCCTAAATAAAATATCTTAAATTACTAATTTTGTAAAAAAAAACTATTATTCCTTGTTGTATAGCTGATGAAATTATATCTAGCCTTAATATTTTTGATCAAAGTTCGCTGAACTAAACAGAATTCGATCATCTGATCATTCGAAAACCTGACATTGTCTTGAAAACGGTCAAGAGATTTAATATAAAAGAACTTCTATTATTATTTTGATTTCAAAAAAAGTTTAAATATGGAATTGTTGTCCTCGTCATGTTTAATAAAATGTTGGTTATAGTTTTTATATCGACTTTTACTCTGGATATGGGCCGGGATTTCAAAAACCCTGTCTTTTAATTTGTGCCCATTTTTAACACTTAGTGTTAGAAATGGGCCAAGTGTTAGTTTTGGAACTAATGTCCCCTGTAGCAGTTAGCACAAAGAATTTTATATAAAATTTTTTTTAAAAAATTGGTTCTTACTTCCCCCCGCATCTAGGACAGCCAGGTCCCCCTTCAGCTGGGATTAGAGAAGTATCAATAAACCTCAGAGAGGTTGACATCTGCTCTCCACTATAGGAAAAATATCGTTATTTTTTAACCATCTAGTTTTTGAAACAGTATAAAGGAATTGAGTCTTTGCCACAAACTCTGATTTTCTAATCCTTTATTCATGTAATCCAATGTTGTAGACCTTAGCTATTTCAAACTGTACATTTTGTTGGATCAAATAATTAAAATTTGACTTTGCACCTTATTATCAAGATATAGGGATAGACAATTTGAGTTTGTGACAAAGGCTCAAATCCTTTGAGAGAGTCTTACTCTTCAGAGACTGTGAACGTGAATTAAATGACCCTCTCTATTTACAGTTATTTTAGTTTACTTAAAAAATATTTCTGTGAATGAAATAAATGGTTTAAAGGGTACCATTGTGAATTGGACATGTTCTAGATTGTAACGATACTGTTTTTGACCACTTCTGACACTTGTCTAATGTGTTGATAAAACATATTATTATGATGAATAAGAATATAAAAAAGCTAACCCATCTGCAGCATCACCAGAGAGAAGAGCGGGTCCCCCCTGTCCAAACCCGTATCCTTTCAACCCAAATCCTTTTCTGTAGCATACTAAAGTAAATAGATCTGAAACAGGGGCTTCATTTTTTATTTATTTCTACAGTTGAGATTAGATATATTTTTGGTTCAACTCTAATGAAGAAACTGTGTACCTTTCCTCGCAAGTATGAAAGTTTACAACCTGTATAGATAGTCAAACAAAATAAAATACTAAAAATACTTCCATTTAAAACCAATATTCTGGTTTTGACCATTTTAGGGCCTGGCGTCTCAACCATGTGGTTTTTGAAATATATTTTAAGTTGAGGTTTTGAGGTGNGATGTCCACAGATTCTTAGTTAGAAATTAACATTGCATGCAAACTATTTTTGAGAAAACTTTGCTATTCTAATAATTTACGCATTTTATTAATTTTATAGAAAAAGTTTGCAGCATTTCAGCATAATGATTTCGATCCTAAACGAAGTCTGTTAGGGGTTTTAGGATTGTTCTTCCTTTGTTGATTTTGTTTTGAAATTCTTCTTCTTTTCTTTGAATTTCTTCCTCTTCTTTACGATCTCGAACTTTTCTCTTGATGGCATCCATGATCACATACAGGGCCCCAACTCCCTTTGGTAGATTTATAAAGATACCGTGGTAAAAAATCTTGTTAAAAAAAAATTCAATTTTAATTTTTATGTTGATTGGCTGGATCTAAAAAAAGAAAAACATATTTAAAATGTTGTAATTTTTTTATTAGATCTCAATCCTTCCCTTGTCGGCAGTTTCCATTGATTTTCCAGACTTTGTTGACACCATTGGCACTATAAATAATTCCCATTTTTAAATGTATAGACTAGTATTCGTATAGTGGAAAACTTCATAGAAGACATAAAGTAAAATTCAATTGACAATCCTAAAATTAATTTTCTTATAAAAAACGAAAAGACGAATATTTTACAAAAACATATCAAGGTTATCCATTTTTCAAATAGCAAACAAAAAATAATACTCCTCCGCCGGCCCCCCTCTCCGAAAAAATTCATATTTTTAGAAAAGGATGATTAGCTCCTCCAGAAAGAATAATAAAGATATGGATAATTTTTGCCTAAAGTTTTTTTCTTGTAAACATTTCTAAGTTCTGCCTTCTCTTTGATCTCTTCTGCTTGCTTGTGCCTATGCTCTGCTTCCCAGCACAGTCCCTTTACCAAACACATGTAAAAGGGATTGTTCAGGGTTACAAACTCAGAACAAGACTTTAAATAGAAATAATGAATCACGATACCTCAACATGTATAGATTTAAAGGCAATTTTTGTATGTCGGTTTACATTTGAACAATTATTCGTTGTTTTCAAATCTGGGGTTTAACAAAAAAAATTGCATTAGAGAATACAAATTATATTTTGCAGAAATAACTTTAAGAACATAAAAATCCCAACTTCTTATTTTAAAATATTTGTAAAACAATTCTTTAGATTTATTTTATTTAAATGATTAAAAAAACTTTTGCGCTTACAGTTTTTTTTAGAGAAATAAAATCGACGAGAATTCTTAACGGTTCAAAAAATATGTTTCCAATTTTTTCATTTAAAAACAAAAATGCGATGGCTGACCTGGCAAAAGATACAATCGAGGCCTATGTTCAAAGATCGGTAACAGTCTGAAAAATTCAGATTTTACTTGACAAACATTGGAAACATATTTCGGAGAAATTAAAAATCATACTTTAACTTTTACTTACAAATTACAAAACAATTACAAAACAAAATTTGAAAAGAATACAATTATGTACATACTTTCAAACAAGGAACATTTCTTTGAGCATAATGTTTAAAAATGAGTGTGCCCACTTTTCCTCTGACATTACTAAGCCAAGTTTCCCTGAAGTTTAAATGTCAAGATCATCTCAAATTCTCATACTTTGGGGAGAAAGTACAAATTCTAAAGAATACATGTCTAAAACTTAGTTTGGAATATAAACTTAAAATCCTTGAGCAAATTGTAAACTAAATAATTTTTTTATATTCTCACATTTGTAAAAAAATGAATGTTCTATTGTTCAATTGTACATCAATTGAACAACAGGTGTTATGTACAAGTGTTGTACAACTGCATTACTGTACAATTATTTAACTAGATACAACTTTACAATTTTATAGATTGAAAGCATAAAAATTTTAAAACTTAATTTTTCGACTAAAAAGTATTAAAATCGTACACGTCCCTTTTTCCACAACTGTACAATTGATAAACTGCGCAACAAATCATATCAGTACAATTGTATAACTGTAACTGGTAAAATTGTAAAATTTTAATTTTACAATTATTTTATAAAAAATAGATATGATAATCACACAAAAATTAACTTTAAATGTTGCAAACTTTTTTTACTTTTTTTTAGATAGTGTTGTTAGGGCAATCCGCGTGGTTGAGTTTTGTGAATACTTTTTAAAACTTTTCTATCCGTTGTAGTGGTTTTTCAATGTTCTTTTCATCAATTGACTTAGTAAAGCAAATGCTTTTAAATGTATCAATATATCCTTATCTATTTTTATATCTCATAGGAACGAAAGAAAATTAAATATTTAAAGATAAATTGAGTTTTTGCTCACCATTACAATAGATTTCCTTATCAGGTCCATCGCAAGCAGTTCTAGAGTCCAGGGACCTAAATACTATAGTTCTAGAGTCCAGGGACCTAAATATTCTAGTTCTAGAGTCCATGGACCTTCACATTTTAGTTCTAGAGTTCAGGACCTAAACATTATTTATATATTATTTAGTCTTGGGATATAAACATTATAGTTCAAGAGTTCAGGAACTTATATATTATAGTTCTAGAGTCCGGGGATCTAAACATTATAGTTCTAGAGTCCAGGGATCTAAACATTATAGTTCTAGAGTCCAGGGATCTAAACATTATAGTTCTAGAGTCAAGGAACTTATATATTATTGTTCTAGAGTCAAGTAACCTAAATATCATAGTTCTAGAGTCTCGGGACCTTAATATTATAGTTCTAGAGTTCAGAGACCTGTATATTATAGTTCTAGAGCCCAGTGACCTAAACATTATTGTTCTATAATTCATGGACTTAAAAAATATAGTTTTAGAGTCCAGAGTTTAGATATTATATAGTTCTAGAGTCCAGGGACTTTAATATTTTAGTTCTTGAATAAAAAAGATTATCTAAATTTAATCATTATTTCAGAATTGTAAAATATAATCAAACCTGTGACAAGTCCTGCACTTGAAGCACTGTTTATGCCACACTTGATCCTTAGAGAATATCTAAAATAATAAAATATAAATTTTTTAGATTCTGTCTTAAACGGATATTTTTGGAACGGCATTGTCGTATTTTTCTGACACCTAGGTTTCAGTTTCAGTATAATTCTTTTGAAAATTACAATTTTTAAACTATAACTCAAATTTACTTTTAAATACACCCTGTACAAAAAGTATTGTCTCTAGAATTTTAGGACATATTTATGTAGTATTTACAGTACAAACTAACATTTTTTGGTCTTATTTTAGGACACCAGCTGTATGAAATATTTAACCATGTAGACACTTTACTGTTGTATTTACATTATGCAGGACATCCTGCAGATGGTTTTGTCTTATTTTTAGAACGCCCTGTAGATATTTTATTTCATATTATTAGGACACCCTGCTGTTATCCAGATATTTCCTGTCTTATTTGATCAATATTTTCTGTTTTATTTAATAGATATTTTCTGATTTATTTGATAGATATTTTCTGATTTATTTGATAGATATTTTCTATTTTATTTGATAGATATTTTCTGATTTATTTGATAGATAATTTCTGATTTATTTGATAAACATTTTCTGATTTATTTAATAGATATTTTCTGTTTTATTTGATAGATAATTTCTGATTTATTTGATAAATATTTTCTGATTTATTTGATAGATATTTTTGTCGTATTTTTTGAACCCCTTGTACTTATTTCTCTTTACCTGATCTGCGTGATACACCAAGCATTGGCATCTTGGACACCCCTGGCCCTCAGGAGCTTCTTGTCCATTCTTTGCCGACCTAGGGTGACCGTTCCTAAATATCATAATTGTCACCCCTCCATATAAATATGTACATGTCTGATGCACAATGATACCCTTCAACCCTTTGTATTAGCAAAGGAGATGGAGTTATTATGTTCAAATGTAATTCCTAAGCAGAAAAAAAACAAGAATATTTTCAGGAATTTGATAATCTGAAAAAGGGTTGTTAATCATGCATGATGATGAAACGCAAAAAATTAAGGGTTTTAAGATGTCATATTTGGATAAAAAATATGAGACCGAATTTAAAAAATTAAAGCGGCGGCTTAAATTTAAACCGCCGCTGAAATATGGTTTGTTTCTCTTAAAATTGTATTCAATGTTTCAAGTTTTATACCGGCGCTTAATTGAAACCGGTTTTTGGCGGATTTAAGACGCGGCTGAAATTCATTAAAGTCGGACAATGGTTACATAATTATCAAATTAGTGGTCAAATAATTGTCGCTTTCTTCATTTTAATTTATTGTTGAATTAAAAAGAAAATTATAAAATCCTTCTAACGACATTTCTTAAATTATAAGAAGTAAGGAAGACTACAGTCATTAAAGTGTTTTCTGGCACAAGTGCATGTTGTTTTTATTCTTTCATTCTTATGATTATTTTAATTTTATTATCAGTTTTTAAATTTTGAATTTGTGGATTTACTAAACGAAGTTTCACTGACTGAACAAGATAAACAAAGTTTGTATTTATAACTTGCTTAACCTGTAAGTTGTCGAAATGTTTATCATTATTTTCTAATTTTTTCTTAAAAATATTCTTAGAACTTTCTTTAACTTTTTTAATGCGTAAATCTATTTTTAGGCCTGACTTGTATTCCTGACTAGGGCTGGGTAAAGTTCCATTAGCGAAACGTAACCATTAAAAGGCTGCACCGTTAACGATTTTTAAACATTAACGTATTTTTGGCACTTCGCGCCGTTAATACTGAAATAGACCATTAACGACTTAACGTTACAATTTTTTAACCGTTAACGAATTTTTTATTGGCGCTTCATGCCGTTAATAATGTAATAGTTCGTTAGGATTGTTGAAATTTTTCATTGATGTCATTAATAAATTGAGATCGTTAATGAACAGTAATTAAAAAAATGGTAAAATTCTGTTCTTAACTTTAAAATTAACTAACCATTAACGAAATGGTTAGAAAAAGTTTTAACATGTCCAGCCCTATTCTTTTACCTGACTACTTGAATATACCAGACTACTATTATACCTGACATCCTTAACACCTGAGATGGAATTTAAAGAATTTGAGCCGCGTTTAAAATCTGCCGAAACCCGGTTTAAATTAAGCGCCGGCTTAAATCTTAAAACATTTGATACAATTTTAAGTGGAACCAACCATATGTAAGCCGCGGCTTAAATTTAAACCGCCGCTCAAATTTTTTAAATTCGGCCACTGAGTACTTTTATGCCTGACTACTTTTATACACATGGCTACTTTTATACCTGACTACTTTTATACCTGGCCACTTTATACCTGGCTACTTTATAACTGGCTACTTAGATACCTGACTACTTTTCTTCCCGAATACTTATTATATGATTACTTTAAGACTAAAGTCATAATTCAAATAGTTCAGTTCAAATTTAGCGCAGCAATCGTGCAGTTTACACAGACCCATTTAACTTGATAAGTTGATCTTCAAGCTATTTGGTAAAAATATTTGACTTATAACAACATTAAATACTCATCTGACTATCTATCTATCTATCTATCTATCTATCTATCATTCTATTTATCTATCTATCTATCTATCTATCCATGGGCCATACATCCAATTGTCTATTTATCATTTTATGATCAAGAATGTTATGTGAAATACATTTTTTTATTTTTAAAAGATTGATAAGGATTTAAGTTTCCATATCTTTTCAGTCAATTTTATTTATATCTAACTATCTATCTATCTGAGATATTTCTATTTATCTATCTATCTGAGATATTTCTAACTATCTATCTATCTGAGATATTTCTATTTATCTATCTATCTGAGATATTTCTAACTATCTATCTATCTGAGATATTTCTATTTATCTATCTATCTGCAAAAGCAAAAGAGTTTCAAACTTATATTTCCAAATCTGTAATTGTATCAAGATTTCAATAAGAAATTTAAAAAGGAAACTTTTGCATAAAGTTACACATTTTTCATTACTTAAAAATTTACTTTTTATCATGAATCGACAAAAAAAATTAATAACTTTTAAATATTATTTGTTTATTCCACAAAATTATTTTGTTATATCACACATGTTTAGTTAAAAAACAATCACAATCAAACAAAAATAAAATAATATTTGAAATAATTAGTTCACTTTCTTATGGCTGAATAGTCTGTTGGGTCAATGGGTTTGTTTCTGAAAAAAATTAATCTGTCAATTTTATTTTAACTAAAAATTACGTGCAGGATTAAAAAGCAAACAAACAAAATTTTTAAAATTTTTAATGTAAAATTTAGTTTTTCACAACTTACGAAACAAACTCAGTGTTTCCGAATTGTTCTCCGTTGTCCATTGTCAGCCCTGCAGCACCTCCTCCGAATCCATAGCCCTTGAGAAATAAAAGTCGTCTCTTTAACCTGCGAGGCAGTTGTAATGTATAAAAATACCCTGAATTTCAGTATTCTGAAGATATAATGGACTCCCAGCAAGCTGTAACTGATTATGAGTTTTATAATTTGAGAGGGTATTGTTTAGAATTGAAATATCCTATGTTAACCAACTGAAACCATGACCGAATTATATCTGTTTGATCAAAGAATGAATGAAATAAGCATGTTTTTAATGTTAAAAATTGATTATTTTCAATTTGTTTTTAACAGTTCAAGGTTGAAAGGGTACAGTTGTGAATCGGGCCATCTTTATATGGATGGTCAATTGCGAAGAAAGTAATCTTTAAACAAATATTAATCAAAATTAGATTTTTTATGGTTTAAACTAACCTTAGGACCAAACCTACGACCATGACAAGTTTTGCAGAATAAACTTCCATCATGCTCCGTACAGGAGGTACTGTCCAGGTGCTTGTTACACATGGCTGAAACAAAATCCATAATGAAAAATAATCATTGGTTTTTTTGAGAAATTTTGCTTGGTATTTTTTATTTTTTTTTTTAATGGCAAAAAAAACGGCTAAACTGATAAATTTCAGATTAAGGAACTGAAGCTTTATATTCTTTACTTATCAAAAACCCGTTTATTCATCAATATTAAAATTTAAATTGGAAACAGGACCTTTAAGATTAACGAACCGTTCCATCAAATATGATTTCTAAATTAGCGAAACGTCCCTTTAGATATTGTATCAAATTTAACGAAAGGTCCCTTTAATCGCAAAAGTACTTACAGCACTTGAAGCATCCTTTATGCCACTTATGACCGCCAGCAATCTTCTCCTCTGCAGCATACACAGCCTTGTCACATTTAGGGCACTTCGCCACATCAGCTGCTTTAAAGGGCATTCTCACAATTCTTTTCTAAATACAAAAAGTAAATCGAAATAAAATATTCATTTTTTTAAAAATCTTAATCCCAGTTTCAGTCTAGCACACAAAGGTAAACTTTGCAATCGTATTTTCTTGCCTTTTAAATTTCTCGAAGATTATATTCAAATTGAAATAAAACAAAGTTTATTAAAGGGAGTGACCGGCTATGTAAGGTAGTTGAACTGAGGACGCAGTGTTGTGGAAAACTTCTTTAGGATTCATTTGAGACATATTTCACTTTTTAAAAGTCTGTAAATTCTAAGTTTGAACGGAAATTCGACGTTCAAAACTCCTGATTTGGGGGTGGATACGCTTTCAGAATTAGTTTTTTTAAAATCATTAATTAACGACGACATAAAATTTAAAAATATTCTACAATAAACTACAGACATTTTGAGAAAATAAAAATTAATCTTATCATCAAAAATAAGTAGTCTTGTTCAATTATTAGTTTCTATTATCTCATTATTCTAGTTTATCGTTATTCACAAAGATTTTCGCAGATTTTCTATAATTATTATTGAAAAGACGACATTTAAAGAATTTGAAGAAATCTGCGAATAAATTCAAAGAAAATTAGAAATTCAATATAATAATGAAAACGAAATAATCGATTTTAGCATTGATTTATTGACAAATTTCTTCAATTCACAAAAATATGAAGAATAAAAAGTAAAGTGTAAAAACAGAAATTTTTCCATAACAGAAAATAAAGGATTAGTTAAAAATAATTTGAAATTGTTTGAGTGTTGACAGCAATATACTGACTCCAAATATAAAACCCACCAAGTTTTATATTTATCTCAGATAGATTTCCTTTACCTGGAAGAGGTTGTTTTATACCTGGGCACCTTTAGACTGACCAGCCCAAGGCTAGCAGGGCCCTAGATCCCCTTAGGATAGAAGGATAGACAGGGAGCAAAGGCTTGGAAAGGGATACACATATTTAGTATAACTACGCACTGTAAAACTATCTTAAAATCCTAAAATCAGATTTTTCAAAGAAAGACTTATTTCCCAACTTGAATTATATGGTCTTACGAGGTAAACAAAGTATAGAACTCATCATTTCATGAATTTCATTAAAAAGTTTATTTTTTAGAGTAGAAATTTTAACAAGAGCTGATATAAATGGGACTGTAGAAGGTGGCAAAATTTACAGTGCGGTCTAGAACATTCCCCTCTGATGTGTAGTAGGTTATATATATTATAGATAGATAGATAGATAGATAGATAGATAGATAGATAGATAGATAGATAGATAGATAGGTAGAAAGATAGATAGATAGATAGGTAGATAGATAGATAGAAGATATATAATAGATAAACACTTTTTAATCAATTGAAAACAATTTTTTTTAACTTTGAAAATAATTAATTTTACAAGCATATCACGTCAAATTCAAGTAAATTTCTTGTTAAATAAAAAAAATCTCAAATATTTTCAAACTTTCTGAAAATACTCATAGAATATGAATAGAATAGAATAGAATGGAATAGAATAGAATATAATAGAATATGAATAGAATAGAATAGAATAGAATAGAATAGAATATGAATAGAATAGAATAGAATAGAATAGAATAGAATAGAATATGAATAGAATAGAATAGAATAGAATAGAATAGAATAGAATAGAATAGAATAGAATAGAATATGAATAGAATAGAATAGAATAGAATAGAATAGAATATGAATAGAATAGAATATAATAGAATAGAATAGAATAGAATAGAATAGAATAGAATAGAATAGAATAGAATAGAATAGAATAGAATAGAATAGAATATGAATGGAATAGAATAGAATATGAATAGAATAGAATATGAATAGAATAGAATAGAATAAAATAGAATAGAATAGAATAGAATAGAATAGAATAGAATAGAATATGAATAGAATAGAACGGAATAGAATAGAATAGAATATGAATAGAATAAAAAAAATAGAATATGAATAGAATAGAATAGAATAGAATAGAATAGAATAGAATAGAATAGAATATGAATAGAATAGAACAGAATAGAATAGAATAGAATAGAATATGAATAGAATAGAATAGAATAGAATATGAATAGAATAGAATAGAATAGAATATGAATAGAATAGAATATGAATAGAATAGAATAGAATAAAATAGAATAGAATAGAACAGAATAGAATAGAATAGAAAGTTAGAAGTTCAAAGATCAAACAATTTGGTTCAATTTTAATTGAAATAATTTTTATTAATCAACAATTTGATTTACTTTAAACGAGGTTCATGGGTTGCAAATCATAATTATTTTGACGTTCTTCATCATTAATTCAATGCTTTGCTGAGAAATGATTTTCTCGGACTCATTTTTACAAATTATGATGAGTTTGCCAAATAAATCAAATTGGGTAAAATATCATTGTTTTGCGTTTGTGTAAATTAAAATTGTTTGTTTTTGCTATCTCTTATTGTGTTGGGGTGTGTCAACTGTTGTAAGGGGGTGTGTGTATTGAGTGTTTGTGTAAACTCTTATTGTGTAAACTCGTATAGGGTGTTTGTGTATCCACTATTATTGTGTGTGTTAATTTCAAGTCTTATTGTGTAGTTTTGTGTAAACTCTTATTGTGTGTGTGTAAACTATTATTGTGTAAACTCTTATTTTGTGTGTGTAAACTATTATTGTGTAAACTCTTATTGTGTGTGTGTAAAATATTATTGTGTAAACTCTTATTTTGTGTGTGTAAACTATTATTGTGTGTATGTTTCTAAGTAATGTGAATGATCTGTTTAAATAATTGATGAGAACTATAGAATGTGAAGAGCTTTGTTTATGTTTATGTTTGTACCGATATCTATGGTGAGAGTTGGGCTGGAAAGTAATATTAATTATTCATAACATTTATAAGTTCCCACTCAGTTGGGTTAAAAAGCTTCAAGGACATTAGACTTAAAATAATAAAATTTCTTTTCGCAGGAAGTATTTCATAAAGGCCAAAGGAATTGAGCCTTTGCCACTAACTCAAATATTCAAATCCATATATCTTTGCAAACTAATGTCGGGGACCTTAAATATTTCAAATTTTCAATTATTCTAGATTAAATAACTTAAATTTGAAGTTTCAAAGATTCTCACCATTAGGTTGCAAAGGTATAGGGATTAGAAAATTTGAATTTGTCGTAAAAACTCAAATCCTTTAAAAATAAACGTTTCTCTTTTAGAAAAAATATTAATTTTTTTAAATGATTAATCAAATATTAAAGTTTGATTTTGATTATGGACAAATGCATGATATCAAATTTTAAGTTTTTAGTAGAAACACCATTTCAGCAGTCTATCTATTGAATTAGCCTGTCTAAGTAATTGCAGGACTTAAATTTTGCAGTTTAGTAGCAGAATTATAACTATGATACAGTGAATCCAAGATATATGAATACATAGCATCGTTTTACATATTTAATATCAAATGCCTCGTAAAAATTAATTTACCTTGAATAAAAAATATAAAAAGAAGTTTATTTAGAATTATCAAAAAAACTTTTGACGGTCTATGTATTCATACATCTGGGATTCACTGTAGTGAATTGAATATTAGTAGCAGAATTATAACTATAATCGTGAATTGTAGTTTAGTAGCAGAATTATAACTATAATCGTGATTTGTAGTTTAGCACCAGAATTATAACTTTAATATTAATTTGTAGTTTAGTGGCAGAATTATAACTATAATATTGATTTGTGGCTTAGTGGCAGAATTATAACTATAAAAGTGAATTGTAGTTTAGTAGCAGAATTATAACTATAATAGTAAATTGTAGTTTAGTAGCAGAATTACAACTATAATAGTGAATTGAAGTTTATAACTATAATACTGAATTGTAGTTTAGTAGCAGAATTATAACTATAATATTGAATTGTAGTTTAGTAGCAGAATTTTAACTATAATCGTGAATTGTAGTTTAGTTGCAGAATTAAAACTCTAATATTGATTTGTAGTTTAGTGGCAGAATTATAACTATAATATTGATTCGTAGTTTAGTGGCAGAATTATAACTATAAAAGTGAATTGCAGTTTAGTAGCAGAATTATAACTATAATAGTGAATTGAAGTTTAGTAGCAGAATTATAACTATAATAGTGATTTTTAGTTTAGTAGCAGAATTATAACTATAACAGTGAATTTTAGTTTAGTAGCAGAATTATAACTATAATAGTGAATTGTAGTTTAGTAGCAGAATTATAACTATAATAGTGAATTGCAGTTCAGTAGCAGAATTATAACTATAATAGTGAATTGTAATTTAGTAGCAGAATTATAACTATAATATTGAATTATAGTTTAGTGGTAAAATTATAACTATAATAGTAAATTGTAGTTTAGTAGCAGAATTATAACTATAATAGTGAATTGAAGTTTAGTAGCAGAATTATAACTTTAATAGTGAAGTGTAGTTTAGTAGCAGAATTATAACTATGATATTGAATTGTAGTTTAGTAGCAGAATTATAACTATAATAGTGAATTGTAGTTCAGTAGCAGAATTATAACTATAATATTGAATTGTAGTTTAGTAGCAGAATTATAACTATAATAGTGAATTGTAGTTTAGTAGCAGAATTATAACTATAATAGTGAATTGTAGTTTAGTGGCAGAATTATAACTATAATAGTGAATTGAAGGTTAGTAGCAGAATTATAACTATGATAGTGAATTGTAGATTAGTGGCAGAATTATAACTTTAATAGTGAATTGTAGTTTAGTGGCAGAATTATAACTATAATAGTGAATTGTAGTTTATTAGCAGAATTATAACTATAATATTAATTTGTAGTTTAGTGGCAGAATTATAACTATAACAGTGAATTGTAATTTAATAGCAGAATTATAACTATAATAGTGAATTGTAGTTTATTAGCAGAATTATAACTATAATATTAATTTGTAGTTTAGTGGCAGAATTATAACTATAACAGTGAATTGTAATTTAATAGCAGAATTATAACTATAATAGTGAATTGTTGATTAGTAGCAGAATTATAACTATAATAGTTAATTGTAGTTTAGTAGCAGAATTATAACTATAACAGTAAATTGAAGTTTAGTAGCAGAATTATAACTATAATATTAATTTGTAGTTTAGTGGCAGAATTATAACTATAACAGTGAATTGTAATTTAATAGCAGAATTATAACTATAATATTGAATTATAGTTTAGTGGTAAAATTATAACTATAATAGTAAAATTTGTAGTTTAGTGGCAGAATTATAACTATAACAGTGAATTGTAATTTAATAGCAGAATTATAACTATAATAGTGAATTGCAGATTAGTAGCAGAATTATAACTATGATAGTGAATTGTAGATTAGTGGCAGAATTATAACTATAATAGTGAATTGTAGTTTAGTGGCAGAATTATAACTATGATAGTGAATTGTAGATTAGTGGCAGAATTATAACTATAATAGTGAATTGAAGTTTATCAAATTGATTATTGATTCGCTTAACAAAGAAGTCGTTATTTTCAGAAATTGTTTTGACAAAAATGAAAAAAAAATTTTTTTTGAGTTTCATCCTTATTCCGATGATAGAAGGTAAAACATGAATATTGAAAATTGCAACAAAATGACATTACCTTTAAAGGGAGAGACGGGTCAGACATGGTAGTTGAGCTGAAAGTGCAGTATTGTAGAGAAAAATTGTTTTTATTCTTCATGGCAGTAACAATCTCAAGAACTAACGAGGGTCAACCCAGACCGAAATATGTTTTCAGTAAAATGTGGAACTAACATCTACTTAATTTACTTTACATAGGTTTGGTTCATCATCATCACCGAATTATAAATCTTTATGATTCATTTGATACCTTTGAGACATTTTAGCGATTTACAAGAGCGTACAGTCGTTAATAATTTTCATTGTTGTTTCAGTCAGCAGAAGAAACGTTTCTTACAATAATGAAATAACCCGAACAAAACTTGAAAAAAAAATATTTCATTGACTAATTGGCTGTTAATGAACATATTTCTTAACCCTATTCCTGCTGGGGGGGTCAATTTGACTCCCCCCCTGTAGTTTTTTTACATAACTCAAAAAGTATTGGTCTGAGGCTGTTGAAATTTTCTGACTTTTCCTACATACCCACAGCCCTCCCTTTAGGCCTAAAACCGGGCTTTAATACTAACTGCCTGAGTCCTCAGGCACACTGCCTGAATGACTGCTTTTTCCTGTAACAAACTAAATCTTTGTTTTGACCCACTTCCACTTGTCAGATTTTGATAAAATTTAGCTTTTTGGAAAGCCTTTCACATAAGGAAACGAATTGCACAAGTTTTGCGAAAAAAAATTGCAAATTTTTGCAAACATCCTGTCAAAAGAAATTTGCACATTTTTAGTTTTTCTTGATTAAAATTAAGGTTCTTTAAAATTTTGCAAAACTTTTTGCACATTTGAAATGGCATGTTGACCATGCCATTTCAAATATGCAAAAAATTTTCAAAAATGTATCATTTTTCATTTTTTGGACAAATTTTTTATTGCAAACATTTTAACTATATAACTGGATTTTGCGATAAAAAATTCAATTTTTGCAAATTTGCAAATTTTTTTTTGCAGATTCTAAAAGTAGAGCACAAGAGCTTTCCAATGATGTATCATTTGTCATATTTAGACATCAAACATGGGATTTAGAGGGGGGGGGGGGGGGTCAAATTGACCCCCCCCCCCCCAGCATATCCTGGTTTTAAAGTACCCCAGCAGAGATAGGATTAAAAAGAAATTTTTTATGAAAGCCATAGTAGAACCGAAGAATAAATTTTTTTATTATCACCATTACCTTTGCCGTGTCTATAATTTTATTCGCAGAATTCTTTAAAATGTCGTCTTCACAATTAAAATCAAGAAAACCTCCAACAAGCAACCCCAGCTGAAAGAATTTATTTTGCTCAACCTGTTTGTAAACATGCAACTAGTTTGTAGAATAGTATTTGTTACATGTTTTGTCCATGTTATTTAAGATTTGTAAAAAAACTTTCTTCTCTGCTGACTACAACAATTGGTGAAATATTACAAACCACTTAAGGCTCTTACTTAAAAATTGTACACCGTAAAAATGTCTCATTTGTATCCTTCAGTTTTTCTCTTCAACACTGCACTTTCAGCTTAACTACAATGTCTAGCCATTCTCTCCCTTTCAGGCATTTTTAAACAAATGACTTACTTGCTCTTCCATAATTCATGATGGGTTTTCTACTCACTTTTAACAAGGTTGAAATAGGATTGATGCAAAATGGAAACAATACTTAATATGCTTGTTTTCAGGAGTCACGAAAGTTCGTAGTAAGATTTTGACTCCACTGGAGACCACCAAAGGGAATTCTGTTTCACTGGAGGGGTTTAAAAAAATGCTTTAAACAATTCAAAACTTTACGCAGGGTGATTTACATTCCACTGGAGGGATTCAGATGTCCTTCCTGGGGGTTATAATTCCACTGGAGGGATTCAGTTATCCTTCCTAGGGGTTTATAATTCCACTCGAGGGATTCAGATATCCTTCCTGGGGGTTTATAATTCCACAGGAGGGATTCAGATATCTTTCCTAGGGGTTTATAATTCCACTGGAGGGATTCAGATCTCCTTCCAAGGGGTTTATAATTCCACTGGAGGGATTCAGTTATCCTTCCTTTTATAACTCCAATGGAGGGATTCAGTTATCCTTCCAATGGGTTTATAATTCCACTGGAGAGATTCAGATATCCATCCTGGGGGATTATAATTCCACTCGAGGGATTCAGTTATCCTTCTAAGGGGTTTAAAATTCCACTGGAGGGATTCAGTTATCCTTCCTAGGGGTTTATAACTCCACTGGAGGGATTCAGTTATCCTTCTAAGGGGTTTATAATTTCACTGGAGGGATTCAGATATCCTTCCTGGGGGTTATAATGTAAATCACCCTACGTGAAGTTTTAAATTGTAAAAAGCATTTTTTGAAACCCCTCCAGTGAAAATAAAATCCTTCCGGTGGTCTCCAGTAGAATCGAAATCTTACTACAAACTTCTTTGAGTCTGTTTTCAGTGGCTTTTCATATATGTAAAAGAGTAAAAATCGTGTCAGGGTTTGAAAATGATATTCCAAGAGGGATATTTAAGATTCGCAACAATTTCATTTAACCTTTGTCAGATCAAGGAGGAATAAGCTATCCTCCTTTTTTTACTTATTATAGACTTGAAAAAAATTCAGTAGTAAAAAGCCAAGATTGAGTGGAATATCAAAGCATCGTTGCACACACTCTATATATTTACAATATAACGATACAAACCATTAGTGTTGGACCAACTAAAGTTGATCTAAATACACACAACATTTGCTTGGGACGAATATATTTCCATTCGACTCTTCTGATCAGATGCTTTGTGCTAACTGGTGAGTGGTGAACCCTGGGGAACCCCGGGCATGGGCATGGCCGACTACTTTCTTTGCTGGCAAGATAAATGCCGTTTTACTCCTTTATCCAGCATCAATCTTACCCTTGCTTCCCTTTAAACTACTCTTTGAATGTCGGTAGATTGCGCATAGATGAGAAAGGGGGTTCAATACCATTTTCCGCTCTACACTGTTATGTATTTAAGAACATTCTCAGTGTTCAATAACCCTTAGGACTGCATCTGGATTATTTGGCTTTATTCTTAAGTTGTTAGGCATTATATTTCTCCGACATGGAGCAATGAACTTATATGACATTATGTACATATGGATGAACCCTTGGTTTGGTTCACATTATTATGGTTTCTGGGGTTTTGAAAAAGAAAATTGTCAGAATTTAACACTTTTCAGAGGACCAAAGATAAATTCTTTGTTGATGTTATAAAGATAAAGCTGTTTAAATGGTGTCCTTATAAATCAGAAATGAAATAACGTCTAAGGTCCTCTCAACCTCGTAGCTCTTTAAAATTTTGTTTAAAAAATTGACAAAGCTTGTCAAAAATCTTATTGTTTTAGGTCTGGTTCACAAACCTTTCTGCGGAATAGGAATGACTGCCTATCTTAGTAGCAGTTATAATGATTCCTACCCTATAGAAAATGTTCTCACCAATTTCTGTGAATTTGATTGGTCACCTGATTATCCAAATCCAGATGAGAGGTAACACAATTACTGGATAAACAAAAAATAATTTCGTTAGTTTTTAGAAAATTTATTAAAAATATAAAGAAGACCTATCTATTTGTAAAATGCTGTTATTTCCATCCCATATATAAGTCTTCTAACAACTTTTAACATTTTTGACATTTTGGCTTTCAAAAGTCTTCTTTGTATTTAAACAAAATGCAAATAAATTCTTAATTTTGTTGTAAAACAAGATTTCAAGTTTGAAAAAAGTTCAAAATTTTTTCTGACTTTTTTCAATTTACAGATTTCTCAAAAAAAAAGGTTGGTGACAATTTCATAAGAAAAGCGAAGTTGCCCTCCCGGCCCTAGTCGTTGGTGTATGAATGTATTTATTCGATATGTCATTTATTTAAAAATTATTCTCTGAACCATAATTTAATCTTTGATTTAAAAAAAACATGAAGAAATAAATTAGTTCCTTCAAATATACATGGCCGACCGTCGACCCTTTTTTCACTAGGTTGAGTTGAGAGAGCAGCATCATAGAATAAAAAGCAATTACATTTTTGCCGCAAACTCTTTTTTTCTAATTCCATTATTGCAACCCACTGTCCTAGACCTTAGATATTTCAAACTATGAATTCTGTTCAAATAATCTAAGTTTGAAATATCATATTCAATTCCTTTGAATTTATTGCTACCAATAGTTTGTTATTTCGATTTATATTTGCTTAGAGAGTTAAAACGTTATTCATTCTCCCTTTCCCACTTTTTCATAATTGTGTAATACTAGCAGAAACCAAAAGTATTCCTATTATCAGACTCTTTAAGAAAATATTTCTTTAGGTTCACCTACTGGTTAGGAGAAAATGGAACTGGTAAGTTTAAATTGACATTTTTTTAAAATGATTTTAACAGTTCAACAGTTAGGAAAGCAATATTAGATTAACAAAAGTGTTCTCAAACCGTTTCTAATTGAATTAATAAAAATAATAAGAAAAATTGCGCCAATTATAAATATGTAGTAACCAAGGGCAATTAAGTATTCACCCTCGAAAATATGTAACCATGAGCTAGCTGGGAACTTTAGAATGGGATACCTTTAATCCCGACTGCTTAATCTAAATATCAAATGTGGACATTTTTGATTTTTTTCCTTTATCCTCTCTTTTTTAGATACCCCTTTTTGTATAAAAGCAACAAGTAACAAGTAACAATTATAGATACAATGCTATATGCGGATCTGATTATACTAGAGTCAGCTGTTCACAAGCCGTCTTTTAGAGCATTTAAACAAATATAAATTCAATCATGCTAATATGAACTATCAAAAAACATATTTTATCATATTTGAGGACTGTAGTCATTTTGAACATTAGCATTAATCGAAAATTTATGTTCGGTCAATCGATCATTAGTTCAAATGCGGAAAAATAAAATACCGTTTTAAAGTTTAAGAGCGCATATATAATCTCTAGAAATTAATCTGAAGACTAAAAAGTCTGGAGATTAGCAAAAAGAGAGGATCAAGCATTGATCTCGATATCCACCATTCTAAAGTTTTCAGCTCTGAAGTCAGTTCTTTTTTTGCTGTTAATCTCGGGTTCAATTGCATTGATCTCCATATTATGCAGACATATGGATTGATATAATTCCTCTTCAGACCTGAGATCCTTTCCCCTGATAAATTTCTATTAGGATTATTATTTGGAGTGTAGGAAGAAAGCAGCATCATTGGAGTAGTACCGGAGACCCCGTCTTACTGGAGACCCCAACTGTTACCATATCGGAGACCCCAACCGTTACCATACCGGAGACCCTGACATTGTCAACGGAGACCCCAAAGTTTTCATCGGAGACCCCACATAAATAATTAACATTATTGAAAATTATGACATAAAAACCTATCTAAATTCGTTTTATCATAAACTTTTAAATTTGGAAATTTTTAAAAAATAAAAAATTATCGTGAGTGTTTATTATTCATATCCTGATTAGACTTTACACCTTCCGCCCTCCCTCTCTACCTGTCTCCTCAATATTCAACCCCCCCCCCTCTCCTCCTCCTCCTGTTCCGGTATATCTTTCTATTTATATAAAATGTAATCTTTGCTCTGCTTGTCTATAAAATGCATAAAACTATATCCAAATGTAAAAGTTTATGATAAAATAAATTTTTTAACATTTTATAAAATCAAGAGCATTTTAAAATTTCAAAAATTTTAACTATTTTATTTGGCGTCTCCGATGAAAACTTTTGGGTCTCCGTTGAAAATGCTGGGGTCTCCAGTGGGACGGGATCTCCGGTAGCCCTCCAGTGATGCTGCTTTCTTCCAAGACTCAATTATTTGTTTTCCTATATCGAGGGATGAGAAAAAAATGTGACTTATTTTCAGTTTGCACCATTAGTACCAAATTCCTGGATTATTTTATTTTCTTATTTCAGGTTATCTTCCATATGACGTATACTTTGAATTTGGTTGCGAAGTTAGAATTAGTGGAGTCTTTATCAGAAACACTCACAACGATAGGGTAAGAAAACTTTTGAAAACTTTAGATTTACAAGAATTTAAAAAAAAATTGGTGATCCTCCCTTTAATGAGTGCTCCTGCTATATCAGATTCGCAATATTACCCTTTTACCCGAGTAAAATTGATGAAGATTTGGTTGTTTAAATTCCATCTTTCTCCTTAATCCACAAGTCTCTATCACAATTAGCTACAGTTGAAAAAAAAAACAATTTACAGATAGAAAAAAATATCTCCAAAATTGTTTGGGTTTTATAGGGTACTCTAATTGGATTTTTTACGGAGAGTCTCTTAGAATTATATCAACAGTTCCTTTAACATTTAGGATCATAATGCTGGAAGCAAGGATATAACGATTGAGAATCCAAATAAAGATGACCAGGTGTTAATAAACGCAACACTCCAAGATGGACGAAATGCTGTAAGTAAATCTTTTTTTCTGATTATTTACAATTTGAAATTGAAAAAAAGTCTGCCTTTTATGCTAAAATCGTTTAAACTTCATTCCAAATGTTATCAATCCATTTTTAAAACATTTTGTTGTGCATGTTATGTCACTTGCAACAACAACTACTAAAGGAATCATAAGTCCTTGCCCCAAAATATAATTTTTGTGTCCCTATATCTTTACCTTCAAACATTACTTCTGTCTTTCGAACAGTATAAGTTTGACATATCTGTATCAAAGGAATATGAGCATAAGGTTGCAAAGATAAAGAAAGGGATGAGCAAATTTGAGTAAAAAAAAACTTAGTTCCTTTGTTTACCTTATTGAATCAAGTAAACTTATTAGTAAACAATTAATCAAACTTATATATGTTAATGAATGCTCCTTTAACTGTTATTTATTTTAGACTCCTTGTTCTCAATTTGATGTCATTCCACTACCAGCCGAATCCTTTCAAACTGACACGGTGGAAATGAAAATACTCTCGGCATATGGAGATCTACCTGGACTCAACTTTGTGGAGTTTCTCGGTAAGAAACAGGCTGAGGCAAGAAGTTTTTTTTTTAAATTATGCTTAAAATCGCCCAAGAAAATTTGGAATGTAAGTAAAAAGCTCGACAATGCAAAACAAAGTCCAAATTGAGTTCTCAGAGAAACTTATCATGCATCTGACAAGTTCTTAGACAGTAATGGGACTGCAGATAAAATTTCAAGTGACCCTCCAATCCATTTTAGATTAGCAAGTTATATTCCCAACAGTAATATATATTTAAAAGCAGATCAGCCCTAGAAAGGTCGACTTGGGAAAACAGAGAGACTTACAGCCTTGGACAGACAAGTCCCTGTTGCCAAAGGGCTTCCCTATTGTACGCTAGAAATCAGAGTACCGGGAATTACTTGTTGTTCTGGGTTTGCTAAATGTTTATACAGAATAAAAATTCAATTCTGTAAGTATTGAATAACTTTTTATGTTTCACACTATTGAAGTAGCACAATTGTTGCGCAAAGGAAATGAGTTTTTGCAACAAAATCTTATTTTCTAATTTTTATATCTTCTCAACCAAATGTCGTAGACCTTAGATATTTCAAACTATGCATTCTGTTAAATCAAAAAGTCTAAGTTTGAAATATCAAAGGATTACGCTATTAGGTTGAAAAGAAATAGAGGTTTAAAAATTTGAATTTGTGGAAAAGACTCAATTCATTTGTAATTCTGAAAACAAATGAAAACAAAATTGCATTCAAAGTTGAATTTAAATTTTTGTGTTTGATTGAGGGTTTCGTGATCTTCTGGATTAAGCTGCATTTCCAGTTTTTTAATATTCAACCTCTTGGAAACAAGTTTCATTAGTGATGAGAAATCAGTAATCACAGATCTTGGATAATTCTAAACAAATTTTCCTGATTTTCTGCAACATCATATAAAAGAAATGTATATAGATTATATTCCCCTCACCCCTACCCCTGTTTCCTGGCTGGGCTAACTGGAACCCCCTCCCCTTACCGTCTGAGCATACTGTCACTTGTACAGTTTCTGCCGGAGAGAGGTTACTGAGTCTGTAGAAAGTTAAGAGAAAACAGGATTCTGCTTGCTTTTTTTTTACTGAGTACTTCATAGTAGCGCCTCTCATGATGGTTATAGTATTCAATTTTTCATTGGTATCATGTTGTGCTTGCTGTTTTGGAGCATCTTATGATGGTTATGGTATTTTATCTTTCATTTTTATCATGTTGTGCTTGCTGTTTAGAAGCATCTTATGATGGTTATGGTATTTTATCTTTCATTTTTACCATGTTGTGCTTGCTGTTTAGGAGCATCTTATGATGGTTATGGTATTTTATCTTTCATATGTATCATGTTGTGCTTGCTGTTTAGGAGCATCTTATGATGGTTGTGGTATTTTATCCTTCATATGTATCACATTGTACTTGCTGTTTAGAAGCATCTCATGATGGTTATGGTATTTTATCTTTCATTTGTATCATGTTGTGCTTGCTGTTTAGGAGCATCTCATGATGGTTATTGTAGTTTACCTTTCATTTGTATCATGTTGTGCTTGCTGTTTAGGGGCATCTTATGATGGTTATGATAGTTTACCTTTCATTTGTATCATGTTGTGCTTGTTGTTTAGGAGTATCTTATGATGGTTATGATCCTGTTTCTGGAGATAAGTTTACCATAAAAACTGCGAACAATGCATATTCTGATGGTTACTGTATACCTTGGACTTTTCCACTTATCAATCCAGGAGTTCCATTTGGTAAGCACCATTACCTAAATGTTTCATATCAGTATTGGCATGTACAAATCACAAATGAGAATAGAGAAATGCATGTAAAGGTTTAAATATTTAGCGAATATATTCCTCGTGAAAATTACATAAATAGATTTTTTACAAGAAATTATTTCCTAGAATCGTTTTTTCAGATGTTTCCAGCTCTGGTAGTGGTAGTGGTAAGGAACATAGTATTATTCCAATTTGAGAGGATTGTTATATCCCTCATTTTCTGATCAGTTCTTAAGCAAAAATTAACAATTTTTCCTCTGAAATATTTACATTAAATTTTCTGTATTTTGATCTTTTTAAAATCTTATTTGAATGAACTGTTTGATTATATGGATTAAATTTTAAGTTAAAAACAGAGGGGGTTATCATATCTTTTAAAAGATATATCATGTATAATTATATAATGTTTTCTTGACGCAAATTTAATAAATCTTTAAATCCAATCCACTCTAGAACAACATTTTTTGGTTAACACTAAGAGAGTGAGTGTTCGAAAATATGAAATATTGAATGAATCCTAATTAAATTGGTTTTGAAAAATAAATAATATTATGATATATTAACAACATTCAAATGTCCCAAGTAAAATTCGAAATATATATATCATGATAAATAAAGGATCAGTTATGAATAATTTTTGTGACACGAGGAGTCTGCGACCTAGTGAGTTGACATTGAAGCTTGCCTCTTGAAATTAAATGTTTTCAACCTTTTGCTGATTATAGACGTAAACTTAGTTCAGTTGCAATTGAATCTGATTTGGATTCCGCCAAGTCTCCCTTTACATTCAAAAGCATTCCTCCTTTTAATTGGAACAGCTAAAAAATAAAAATAAAACTAATGCAGGCTGACAAATAGATATTTCACCCGGTTTTTCATTTAAAGGTTATGGATCTGGATCTGGGTCTCCGTATGAAGGTTCCGGATCTGGATCTGGGTCTCCGTATGAAGGTTCCGGATCTGGATCTGGGTCTCCGTATGAAGGTTCCGGATCTGGATCTGGGTTTTCCTATCAAGGTTCTGGTTCTGGATCTGGGTTTCCTTATGAAGGTTCTGGATCAGGATCTGGGTTTCCCTATGAAGGTTCTGGATCTGGGTTTCCCTATGGAAGTTCAACGATGGAACCCATTGGACAAATTTATCCAGCATCCATTGAATATTACAACACTGCTTATAATAAGATTATTTATTTGACTGGTAAGCACTTTCTTTATTTAAATATATTTATACACATCCAGGATTAATATCAACATCTATTCAGTGCAAGGAAGAGAAGCGGAGTTTTTGCTTACAAACAATATACAAAGTCCCTGTTCGGGTTCAGAGATTAAAATAAAGATAACTTTTAATAATATTTCCATGATGGACTGTTCAAACAAAGTCTTAACATCAGTGGTGGTGAGAAACTTAATATTTTTGGTTACTTTAGAATTTATTTTATTGTCTTGACAGGCAAAATTTGGATTTTATAGATTTTCTTTTTTAGAAAACAAGACTGTTCTCAGAAGAAGTCCCAGTATCATATTGGATAAAAACAGCTCTGTCCAATGACACCATAAGTCAATCCATATCTGTAAGAACTTTAACATTTTAAAAAATATCATCCCTGAATTTGCATGCATTAAAAATTAAAGACGTGAATGGATTGCAAAGATTTATTTCCGTGTTTAAGATCAGATTAATGTTTTAAGGGTAAACCGTTGTAAATCAGGCATTGCAATCTTTGCATGAAGGGTCACTTTAAATTACGCTTAGAATCCTTTTAATACAAAATATTTAGATGGGTTGGTTTCTGTTCCCAACGCCTCTTCTAAATATCACAGTGCCAGCTTTCCCCAGCAGTGCCCTTTGCTTCGCTGGAACTGGAAATTTGACAACTTTTGATACTTTTGGTATTGCGACAATCGTTAAATACTTCTAATCCAAATGATAATAATAATAAAATATAAATTATAAATAAAAAAAATAAAATGATAGATAATAAAGTAAAAAAAGAAAATTAATGAAATATTCCGTTAACGATGTTAATAAGATAGAGATCAGTAACACAAAGTAACTTTTTAAAAGAACGAAAAACACTGCTAACTGAATAGAATGTTCAATTCTTAGCTGAAAACTAATGGATATCAGATGTTTTTTTTAATGATTTTATATTTTTATTTTAATGATAGCTAACCGTTAATGAATGGTTTGAAAAAATGTCTTATCAGATAGAATACTTTATAAAAACAGCTACCGTTGGTTTGCATCATCTAGTTCTATTGAAAATCCCAGATATATTTGGGTCAGTGGATTCAAATATGTTGTCCGTTTAAAAAGTTGCACTGTTCCTGTTATAGTGTACTCTGATGAGATGACAACCCATGGTGAGTATTCACAGTGGAGTAACTGGACTGAATGCTCTGGAAGATGCGAAAATGAAGGGTTGTGGACCAGGTAAAATAGATAGGAAGGTTTACAGTGATAATTAGTAAACAATGTAATAGGAGATTGACATTATATCAATACTGAAGTGTATTTGCTGTTGTTACAAAGAAATGCTTTACTAGACATTTGTTTAATCACTAATTTAATAACTTGACTCTGAAAGTCGTCTTCCTACTCCAAAATTTTCTGGTCATCATTTATCAAAAAAATTATCATTTAAGCATAAAATAATCATGATGAGCTCGAAATATTCGGAAGATTTGTTTGAAATCCATGTAGTATTGCAACAGTTGTGATTTTATTCTTTTATATTAGAATTGCATCAAAGCCTGAAGAAATTAGATCAAATTTACAAGATTACCCACAAAGGATGAGATTTCATAGATGACAGTATACAGAATTTATTCAGAATGTTTTCTTACAGTTTCCCATCGCTTGAAAATCGTGCCTTTCTTTGCCATGCCCTGATCATGAAATAAATCACTGTAAGCTGCAATGTATATAGTAGATCTAGCTTAAGATCACTATAAATTATGATTTTTAGGTTGTTATCAAAGTTATATTATTTGTGGGTAACCCTGTGTTTTACAAGAATCATGAGATCGTTTATCGAAAATATCCACTCCTTGCCTAACCTTTTTTATCCCATTTGTCATTATTAGGGCGGAATTCTGACAGCAGTGCCTTTATTTTTTCCAACCTGTAGGAATATATATAATAAGTATGAACAATCAGGATCAAAAAGCTGTATTATCTATCCGCACGCATTTCACAATATAACTAGTCAGAGAAATTTGACACCTTTGCATGGAAACAGTAACTTTCTTTAGTTCTTAATTGGATGTCTATGGTGCCTAGAAATCAAATTAAAGAATAGAATGACAGATGAAAATTGCAAAAAAAAGATAGTTGCAGCTCTTAGCAATGTGCTCAATATTTGGTGAAAAAAGCAGAAATATGTTTAAAATGCATTTTTCCCTTGTTTAAACAAGATCTACAAGAGAGGAACAGAAAACAGATATTTTCTCAGTTTAAATGTTATAAAAGATATTCCAACAACAACAACTTCTTGTTTGTAGGAAACGGGAATGTGATAATCCTAAACCCTTTGGTCTGGGATATCCCTGCGCTGGACCTGATATCGAAGAAATACCTTGTACAAATCAGTGTGGTAATTCTTATCCATAGACATGTTAAAGGGACTGTAAGCGTAATTTCAAGAGACACTCCATGCAAAAACAACAATGCCTGATTCACAGTGGTACCTTTGAAACCTTTATCTCACTGATGTGGGAGATATTGATGCGTTTTTAGCTTTTTGATTCAGATACTTAAAGGAACAAAACATCCATATCTAATTCATGCTTGATCCAACAAAGCTATAGAAGGGTACTGTTGTGAATTGGGCATTGTCGTCTATGCTTGGAGGGTAACTTGAAATTACGCTTGCAGTCTCTTAAAATAGTTCTGATTTTGAAATGCACTAAATTATTACAAAGGCAAATAAATCTAAAAGTTCACATGCTTATATTCCTGGAAATCAATATCTTGATGAAAATAATAATTAATAATTAATAATATTTTGAGAACAGTTTACAAATCTGAATTTGACTAACAATTTCCTGGAAAATTGTAGTGTGACATGAAATTTTCTGAATGTATTCTAACATTTTTTAATTAATGATTAAAACTAAAAAAAAAATATTATTTCTTTTGGCATCTTTAGTTTGTGCCAAATTTCATTTCGTTGACTTCTTAACTTTGAAATAGTATTTTGGAATTTTAGTTTTAAATTAGGTTACAAACCTTTTTGTGTTGTAATAACAAGTCTTATTTCTTCAGAGGATATTCCTGTTCCATACAAGCTAGAGATGTTTCTTTCCAAGGTGATATAAACAAATAGTTTTAACAAGAAATATGCATATTGAAATTCCATTGTAGGAAAAAAATTTTTTTTTTTTTAAAGTTATGGACTGTTAAATTTAAACAATTTTCCCAGAAGAAAGATGTCAATATTTTTTAAAACACTCTGATTTAAATAAAAAATACATCAAAATTGTTAAATGATGAAAATGGTCCCTTTCAGAGCAAAAGTTAACATCTAAAATTGTTAATAGGTAAGGGGTTGTACAATCACATCGCCCTAAATGACTAGAGTTTAATATAACTCTTTCCCTTTGGTATGAAAATAAATGATATAAAAATTAATATTAATATGCTTTAGACCTCGGGTCAGGGTTCTGAGACAAGTATGAAACTAGGAGAATGGATCAACTATAAACTCGACATAGATCTCCCTGTAGTTCCCTGGAATGAAACAATATTTTTTCTGGATGTTAACACCGTCAACCCTGATAATCTTGGTTAGTATAATCTGTAATTTATAATCATGCAGGACCAAAATTTTCACACTAAAAAATATCTTTTTTAAACATTAAATTATCATATGCATATTTTTGAACAGATCAACAATACATTGAAACTTGTTTTTGATTTGATTTTTCTATCTAATTAGTTAATTTTCCAAAAATTTATTTTTTAAACTTAAAATCTCTTATTTTTGAGTATAGAAATCGCAATTAATTAAATTGCATTGCTAGGGTTGCAATCTAACATTGCAAACCTGTTTTCATGGTTGCAATGTAAACATCAGGGAGTTAAAAGTTTCATAATTTTGTTCAAAAGTTGGAAAAAATCAAATCACATGAGAAAATGTAACCATATATTAAGCCAAAGAACAAAGATTATAAATACCATTTTTTTATCGATAAAAATTTAAAAATAATATCTCTGGGGGTTAAGTTCTAAATAATTATTTTTTCCCTATTTGGAGAACATTTTTTCACCAATTTCTGTTTCCATAGTTAATTATTTCTAAAAAATTGGGAAACTGTTGTTATGAGATTCTGATTCAGAAATATTGAAAAAAGTTTTAATATCTGAGTTGATGTCTTTATGTTATTACACTATACCTCCTTTTTAGAGCTTTAGATATATCTTAATTTATTTCTCATAAAACAATTGAAACAACTTTTCCAATATTTCTTGAAATATTCGTATAGAAAAGTGTATCTAAATGGAATATTTTAAATTTTATATAGTATAGAAAAGCAAATATAATAAATTTAACATGTTTTAACCTTTTCTGATGAAACTGGTTTAAATAACATATTAGAGAAAGTAACTAAATCCAATACTAAGTTTGTAAATGAAGACTGTCCCTTATTTATTGAAAAAAATAAAACTTTTTTTCTTCAAATGTTTGAACATGATTAGGCTATGATGGCTATGATGGCAGGAGTACAATGGTTGTGTGTGAACCTGAAGTATCATACATTGGTGACAACTTTGAAACCTTGTCATATGAATCCCTTGATGAGGATTTGTATTGGGATTATAACTATCAGGTTACTGGACTAGAAAAGGTAAGAAGCCCAGTTTAACTGAACACGCTTTGATTTTTGGAATCTTTTGCTACATGTTCGTTTATGGAGGACCTTGAGTTGGATCGCTTGTGCAATTTTCATTATTTCCACATTTTAATAAACAATTGTTCATGAATTAAATTGTCCAGACCCGACGCCTCCCCAGGGGGGTGGGCGTGTTGCAATGGGTCGGATACACCCCTCTTTCTCCGTAAATGGGGGTGCAACGACTAATTTGCAACCGCCCCCCCCATTCTAAATAAGTTTCTTGGTATAATCTTCCCTTAAAAAATTTAGATATTAGTATTTATAGTTTTTTTTCAATTTTTTCATTCTGTATACTGTAAAGTTTATGTATAGTGATGTTTCGCTACTTAGTGATTTCCCTAAAGACCTAATATATATACCGTGTGGTATTTCTCAGGACCGGATCGTAAGACTCCCTTCTCTCATAATAAAAGGATGATAGTAAGGTTCCGAACGTTTATTTATCTGAGCCTTCAATCTAAATAAGTTTAATAAACCCACAGAAAAAGCTTTTGAGTGATAAATCATACAAATACAACAAATAATTCACTCAGGCATTAAAAAACTGTGGCTAGGAACCAACAAACACATATATAAATATCAATCATACTATAATCAACACGATAAGCATAAGTATATATAAAATAGTTACCACAGTGATCCCAGAATTCTGCACACGGTTAAAACTTGCAAGACGAATAAACATATACTGATATAAATTATTCACTACTCCGCGAGAAATCTTGCGCCTGCGTAGTCAGTCTGTAAACAGTTCCTAAAACTAGTTCTTTCACAATACATTCCGTACAGATCTTCAGGGAGAACTCAGAAATACACAGGGGTGACAAGCAGACTTTATGCACGCAGCATGGCTTGCGTAACACTCGCCCAGCCAAGAGAAGAAAAAAAAAAGTTCTTCTGCACCCCGCGACTTGAGCTCCTAGAAAAACCTAAAACACAACACAGATCTTTCAGAGTTTGGATTCACTTAACCACTCCTCGTACTCCCAGTCCTCAGAGAGTTTGGTCAGCCGCTCCACTCTCATCCTCCTCACTCTCAGCTCCTCCTCACACTTCCTCAGGCCCTCAGACTCCTCTTCCAGAGATTGAAGCACTGCCAATTTCAGCCTCTTCTCCGTAATCTCCACCACCAGAGCCTTCTTGTCCATAATTCTCCGATAACAGAGTCGCATGGCATCGTACAGACCTCCGTAGAATTGTTGGAACCCTACGTTTCTCTCCATCCTCATAAAAAACTTGACCAGCTCACGGGGGTTCATCNTCTCCCGATCTGCGTACACTTCTCTCCTATCTCCTTGCTCTTAACCTTCTCCATGTCCAACACTAGCAACGGGATTCTCAAACCACTTGGCCTCTCCAAACCTCTGAGACTCTCCACTGGTTTAGACCAATCTTTCCTCTCCAAGTCCTCCGGGTCTAGTCCAAACCTGGCATACTCCTTCTCTTCCCTCACAGGTGGGCTCAACCTCAAACCCCTGCACCAAGTATAGCCAACCTCGGCCAACACCCTCGCCTGAACCAGGAACCACTCTCTTGCCTCCAGCAGGTAACGACATCCTCCCGAAGTAGGAGCAGGCCATCTTCCCAAGATCTTGGTCCATAATCTGATCAAAGGAGGTGAGAACTCGAACAGCTTCTCTCTCTCGTCCCTGTACCTCAACGAGAGAATCATCTCCTCTCTCGACTCAGCCTCCTCCTCTGCCCTCTGGTGGTACTCGACTCCTTCTAGTGACACCATCACGAACTCTAGGAACCAATCTGATGCTTCCTTCTGACCACACTTCATGTACTTGCATAATACCTCTGGATCAGGAAAAACGTCTCTCAACAGCAATCCTGCCAGAATATTGTAAGTCATGAACCCGAACTGTATATCCCCTAACGCATAACACTTCAGGGACTCAGGGATCAACTGCCATCTCTCACTCAAGAAGCTCTGGCTGCACTGTCATCCTCTCCAGCACGTACTCCTTCCTCTTGTTCCTCTTTAGATCCAGAGAAATTAGGCAGGCCCATGACACTCCATTCCCGAACATAATCTTCCCAGGAATCTGTTTAAACTTATCCTTAGAAGCATCCGTCATCATCTCAGGGTCGCACTTCCTCTTTAGAACTGCATTCTTAGGATCAATAGTTGCTTTCCCGGCCATCCTCAGGGTATCGAAGTAAGTTGCCTTCACATCCTCTACATCGAAGGACACAACCCTGGTTCCAAACAACCTCTGATCCGCATCCTGCATCTCCTCCACCCATTTCTTCACCTCCAATATCTCCTCTGCTGAAGATACTCCGCAAACCAACTCTCTTACTTCAATCCTGTCCAGCATCTTCATGTTTAAACCCCTGACCCTCTGATACTTCTCCAACTCCTCCAGCTTTGGATACCTCCAGGCATCAATCCGCTTCGCATCCTCCACCAGGAAATCTAGGAGTGGAGCATGCAGGGGTAGGAATTGATCCAGAGTCAGCTTACTAGGCCAATCCAGTCCAGATTCAGACACTCTCCTGAGATACAGTGACATGTATCTCTCATCTCCTCCAGTATTGATCCTATGGGTCCTTCCTGTCAGATCTCCAACCATGCCAATCTTATTGGCTATCCTAGTCTCTCCCCATACCTTCGGGAACTGGGC